CACACACACACACACACACACACACACACACACACACACACACACACGAGCGGAGCGTGGCCTTGAGGGCTTGTCTCTGGGCTTATCCGGGGTCCTGTGGTCAGCCCAAGCCACACGGCGCTCAGGCAGTTAGAGGACTTTACCTCTTCCCTCCAAGGTGGGGTCGTCTTGGTGCAAAACAACTTGCCCAGGCCATATTTTCTAGAGAGTCTCAGCAGTATTTCTGCATATGAAGTGAATTATTAATTTAATATGGGCTATTAAGGTGATTAATTTAAGCTGAGCTCAGCAGAACTTTATCACTTTTACGTCTGGGACAGGTTGGCTAAATTAATGGGGTGGAAAGCCAGATTTGGGGTGGGGGATGTTTAATCTACTGCAAAGAGCCCTAAGGAGTTTAGCAGATTGGTTTGTTTGTATGCAAATGGTGCTAGACAGCTAATTACTTGAGGTTTCTTCTTCCCAGCCACAAGCCCACACACTTTGGGAACCTGGGAGCTTTTAAGTAACCAAGGCTTTTTACTACTCCCGCCTCCTGGTCCTTCCCATGAGTCAAGTTCAACCCCATTATGACAAATGACAATTAAAGCTCCCCCGCCCCCACACCCACCCAATTCAGGATATGTAGAAATTAAATGGGGGCAGGGGGAAGACTGGAAAAAAGTTGACGGGGAAGACCGACGGATGCCCTCCTGTTAGGTTGGGCTGGTGTCCTGGCTGGCTGTTTTCAGTCTGAGGGGACCAGGCCTCCTTGGGAAGCCCAGACCAATCAAGTGACCTGCCTGGAGCCTCCCCGCTCATAAATGTGTTGGCAGCATTTGAACCAGCGTCTTCCCAATGCCGCATCCAGTCCCCTATCTAGGTTGCCACACTGCTTCTCAGTGGAGGTGTCAGGAGAACCGGAGGAAGGCCCTCAGCACACCGGGTGGACCCAGCAAAGATTTATGGGCAGATGCAGGATGGGCATCGATCTGCCTTGTGGGAAGGAGCTGAAATCAGTGCTTGAGAATGGGAAGGGACATCAGGGACCACTCACTGGAAACCACACCCAAAAGGAATTGAAAAAGGAACCAATCCTGTGTCCTTGGAGGGATGGAAGCGGGCCCTGTCCACTCAGCCACCCAGAAAGGCAGCACCTGCTGCCCAGGTCAGGATGGAAAGCCCAGCCCTGCTCTTCCCAGACAGTGCAGTGCTGGCGAGGCTTCTCACTCTGGGGCTCAGGTCAGTGGGTGACCACACAAACAGGCAGCCAATGCCAGCATCTTCCCCATCCCGGCCCTGGCCTTTTGCTTTGTGCTTTGAGACCTGGTGCTTTGCAGAATAGAAGGTGTATCTGTGGGAGCGAGGCCGAGTGTGGGGAGAAGGTGAGCTTAAGCTTGCCTCTGCCAGGGGTGAGAGGACCCAGGGCCAGGGGGAGGTGACTGCACATGGTCCTTTGAGAGGAAAGGAGGGAGGGAGGAGGGGACCACAAGCGGCAGAGGAATGAAAGCTTCCCACATACCACCAGACGTCTGCTTGGGTGGCAAGGTGGCAGAAACCGAGGTCCTCCTTTTTAGGGAACAAGGGCTAGCCAGGGCTGGGGGTTCTAATCTTGCCTCTGGCACTTGGCAGAACTTTCTGAAGCAGAAGAGAAAGGGGGCATGGGTGAGAGATGTTGGGGAGATAGAAACAGCAGGATGTGGCAGCTGATTTATACGTGGTGATTTGAGGCCCACATGGAGGTTGGGAATGCAGAAAGATGGTGGCACCTTCTTCAGTAATGGGGGGAAAACTAGAAATCAAGGTGACTTTTTTCGGTTGATAGAACAAAAATACGTTAAACAATTTCCCTCATCTTCTCACCTGGCTCAATACAGGGGGATGACTTTATGCAGTGTGCTACAATGCTAAAGGGAATTCTAGGATGTGCGCCATCTTGGACAGCTCTCCACTAAGGCAATGGCAGAAGCCTGCTGTCACAAGAGCCTTCTCCCTGAAGGGTTCAACATTCCACAAAGAAGCATAAATTTTCAAAAGCAGGCATTGCGCTTGGACTAGCCACAGATAAAACAGTGAGGTTCCATTACAAGATGTTTATTAAAATATGAAAAGGCAATCATTTGCACATAGAAATATTCATTCGTATTGAGTGTTGCAAGGGCAGCTTAACACCTACTTCTGAACATCTTCTAAGCCATGAGATACTTTAGCTAAGGCACTCAACCCATTCTCATGTTTTTAATAAATATGCTTCCAAAAAAAAGCAAGCAAGCAGCTTCTTCCAGAGAGACGTATCACATGGTATTGAAGAAAGACCAGGCCAGCCGGGCTTTGCTGTGTTTGCTATGAGGCACATTATGGTGAGAACTTTAAATAGGCAAAAGGCTAAAATTTTTAAAAGAAACACTTAAAATGGGAGAAGTCCCAGTATTCCCTTTCTTGCCCCCATCTCTGCTAAAGAGATGGAGTCCATTAAAAAGTGCTGCTTTCCTTAACATCAGCAAAGGAATGAATTCCTGCTCTCTGAGCCAGAAGGATGCTTTTGTTTCCATGAAAGATGGACTTCTGGAATGGACATCATGAGATGAGCAGGACATAAAGGGTCCATGCAAATGGATCCCTCTAAAGAAAGTGGACCTCCTGCCCCTCTGACCTTGGACCTCTTCCCCTCTGACCTTGGACTCCTGCCCTTCTGACCTTGGATCTCCTGCCCTCTGGGGGCCTGCTGCCTGGCTGTTCCCATTGGCCCAGGGGGCAGGGAGGAGGGTAGGGAGGCTGACCTACTGATGAAGGCCATATTGTGGGAGTAGCAGGGGTTCACTTTGGACAGGCCTCCTTTGTCATAGAGTTGTAACCTTGTATGATGTGTGCAAACTATTGAACTGGTTGTCCAGAAGATGTTCTAGCCAGAGCTTTCCCACTGATCAGCTGTGTGACCTTAGACAGGTGCCTCACCTCCTCCATTCTTCAGCCACACAATGAGGGGGTGCAGGCTCAGTGGCCTCGGGTTCCTTTCCAGCTAAAATATTCTAGGTCCTGATGGACCCACTGGGCCCGAGAGCCTGATGGCACCAGAGAGACTTGGTCCAGCTCTCATTTCACAGAGAAAGAAACTGCAGCCCAGGAAGGAACGCTTAGCCCATGGCCCCCCAGAACTGGCAATGCCCAAGACTTTTCATCATGCAGGATGGCCTGGAGCCACCATCTCCATGGGCCCTCCTTCTGGGCACAGAGACTTTTCCCCAAATGCTGCAGCAGCAGGACAAATTATTAGGGCAAGTTTTCATTTGGCTGTTGAAACCTTTCTGTTCTGAGGAAGTTCGGGGAGAGGCACAGTGGGGCAAAGCCCCAGACATAGATTCAGAGGACCTGGGTACCAATCGCAGCTCTGTCCCTAGTGATTTCTGTGCTGTGACCTTTAAGCAAGTCCCTTCTCCTTCTTGAGCCTCAGTTTCCTTCTCTGTAAAAATAATGGCACTGGGGAAGAACCACAACAGAGCTGTCAGATTCGCCAGACTTGCTGCTTACATATGGCTTGCCTATCCAGAATAAAATATAGTTGGGAAATATTTAACAAAATAAATAAAAATATGATACAACCTAGATAGTGTTAATTTGTGGTTTTCAAGCCAATATGGGGCCACAGGGATCCATTTCTATTTGAGGTTGACCCCACTGCACAGCTTGGCCCAGAAGCTACCTTCCAATATGGCACCTCTGCTCTGACACTTCCCTTCTGACCTTGGGTGACTTCTCAGGCCTCAGTTTCCTCATCTGTAAAATGAGGGATTTGGATCAGGTGACCTTTAGGCAGCTGAAGGACCTTAGAGTGGTCATAGCCCTTTTCGGGGTCTGATGACCTCTAGATCTGAGTCCTAGAAATGGTGGCAGGCACGTCTGAGACCAAGATGCGCATTAGAGTTGGTGCTGGAGGTTGGGGTTTTCTTTTGCCACCAACACACACACACACACACACATACACACACACACACACACACACACACACACACACACACTGCCCTTTGGTCTCGCTGGCAGCTGGGCTAGGGCTCTTCCCCGGGTCAGTGTCACTAGGATGCCGGGCCAGAATGCTGCTCATCTAGGCTGATCCTTGGTTGTGGGCCCTGATCAGCCCCCAGGACAGTGCTGAGCATCCTGGGGAGGGGGCTCAGCCTTCTCTGGCTCTGGTGCTCAATGCAACAAAAAAGGAGAGATAGAGACAATAGTCATCTGAGCTGGCCGAGCACGGCCTTCCTGTCCGCCGGGGGCCCCCCTCACAGCCACCGTTCTTCCAGGTCTCAGAGTTTCCAAATTTAGGCCTACTTTGGACCTCGTTAGAAAGTGTTCCCTTAAAATCAGGAAGTTACACAATTCCTAAGCTTCTAATCACAAAAGCAGAAAGATGCAGAGCAGAGCACGGGGTGCAGGGAGGAGGGGCCCCCGGGGTCCTAGTTATTCTTCTCCAGGGATCTATAGTAGTCTGTGAGCACCTTCCAGGCTTTGGGGGCCATGAAGCCATCAGGGGGATTCTCTCCTTCCCGAGCAAGCTTCCTCATCCGTGTTCCCGAGATGAAATCAAACTCACTGTGTCTGAAACAGAATCGAGAGAGAGAGAAGTTGGCCAGGCAGGCGGGGATTCTGCGCCCCCCGGAAGGGAGGCACAGCTGAACTTGGCAGCCCCTGCCCTCAGGGGGCTTACAGTGGCCAGGGAAATGCTTTGTGAGGGCTGAGGGGAAGGCTGGGGCGGAGAAGGGGCCACACAGAACAAGGGTGGAATTCTGGGTGAGAAAGGGCATTCCATCAGCTGAGGAAAGAGAATAAAGCGTGTTCAAGGTCTGGGAGTGAGTCAGGAGGGCAGACTGACTATCCTAGCACAAAGGATTGCAGGATCAGAGAGAGGGGAGGAGACCTCAGAAACCAGCTAGTCCAACCCCTCATTTACTGGGAAGTGACTTATCCAAGGTCACCCAGTGAGTGACATGCTAGGATTTGAAACCAAGCCCTCTGACTCCAAATCTTGGGCTCTTTCCACTGTACCCTGATGGGAGAGCCATGAAATAAAGCTGGAAAGGTGGAGTGCTTTCTGATTCTGGAGGGCCCTCAGAGCCTGGCAGAGGAGCCAGAACTTTCATAGGGAGCCACTGAGCATTTCTGAGCAGAGGGAAAGAGCAGGGCCTCTTCTGGATGTACAAACAGAAGCAACAGGTTTTGGAGAAAGGTAATTTAGACTGAGAAGGTCTTGGTCAAACAGATGGTCCTCTCTGTAGCTCTTAAAGTCAGGAGGGGGAGGGGAGGAAGGGAGGGCCCTGCAGAGAATAAGGAGAACGCTGAGGCACTAACACATTTCTCTCATGCTTGTCACCATGATCTTATTTGGGCCTCATGGCATCCTATGAAATGGGTGCTGGCCAGCACCAAGCTAAGCGCTGGGGAGACAAGAGAAGGCAGAAGACCATTTGAGGACTGAGGCTTGGAGGATCAGAGAGGCAAAGTACTCTGCCCAGGGCCCCACAGCTGGGCCTCCCTGGCTCCAGCAGACCACCCCCCAGAGACATCTCCTGTCTGTCTGGTGGAGGACTCTGGCCTCTGGAACAGGCCAGCACTGAGGCCCCTGCCTTCTTTGGCTGCTGCTGGTTCAGAAGCTGGGGGACTCACGTCGTCGGGTCGTAGAAGGCCATGGCTTTCTGGACCTTGTTGTAGGCAGCCACACGGAAAGGGATGATTTCCACAGACGTGAGGCCAGGAGCCATGCTCAGGACCTTTCCCCCGTGAGTGGGCTCATACAGGTCTTTCTTGGATTCAGGATGGGGCATTCCCGCAGGGTCCCGGCCTACGATGTAGAAATTGGCCCCGGCTATCATTCGGGACCGGCAGTGCCACTGGACCTAGAGAGACAGCCCAGACCAGAGAGGGTGGTTATTTATCCCCTGGACAGAAAAGCCTCCTCCTCATGGGAGGCCCGGCAGGGATCAGGGCTGATGCCAGACAGCTGTGAAGGAGGTGGACCGGGAGAAGACAGTGGGGTGAGGCAAGGGGCCTTAGGGAAGATAATCACTTTCCTTCGGGTCATCCTAACGTTCAAAACCGGAAGGGTCCTTTGGCACCATCTAAATCTGCTGTCTCATGTTACTGATCAGGAAACTGAGGCCCAGAGCCTTATGTGAGAACTGCATTTCAACACAGTTGGTTTCCTACGTCTTTTGTTATAAGCATAACAAATATCAGTGAGGCGGGGCCCAGGTCGGCTAAAGGGGTTCCTTCCACAAAAAAAAGAGGTGAAGCGTCCCTGAGTTACAGGAAGCCATCCGGTCCAATCTGCCCATTTTACAGTTGAGAGAACTGGAGGCTGAGAGCGAGTTGGTGACATGTCTATGGTCATACCAAGCCAGAATAAGACCCACATTTTCTGACTCTCGCCCTCTCAAGCCCCTTCCCCATCAAAGACTCTGGATTTCTGCAACAGGGTTAGTCAGAGTGGGCTGAAGAAACGCCTCACCTCTGTGGGGCCAGCATAGAGCATTGGCGAGGGGAAGATGGCCACGATGGTGGACTTGGGGTCCAGGACCCCCTCCTCCAGCACGGCCGCGTGTTGCTTCATGCGCCATTGCAAGGGAACGTCGTCGTCCTTGGTCCAGCCGCCCAGCGGATGCAGCAAGAGGACAGGATGCTTGTAACCTCTCTCCAGGAGGCGGCGGCGTGTGTCCTGCATGAGCAGCGCGTGGCCGTTGTGGACAGGATTGCGCAGCTGGAACGCAAACACCGCATCTGCAAGAGGCCGGTGCGCAAGCCGAGTCAGAGAGCAGCCGGAGCGGTCACGCACTGCGTGCCAGTCTCAAGATCGGGGTCGAGATTGTTTGTTTACGGCTGGCCAGTGAGGACATCTGAGGACCCAGACACCCATGCCAGCTTTAGGCAGCTTCATACAGACGAGGGGGCAGGAGGCGGAGGACAGGGCCAGCCGCGAGGCCAAAACCAACCCACGCGCAGGCAGAAGCAGCACCACCCATAGGGCCACACCGCCCGGCTCAGGGGCAGCACACTTCTCCAAAGGGCAGAGGGAGGCCGAGAGCCCTGACAGGGGCCACCTCTGGAACCCTCCAACCCCACACCCCTGAGGGCTACCCTCCTGAGGACCGAGGAGGGGGTGAGGTGGTCGTAAAGGGGGAGGGGGCAGAGGGAAACTACGGACCTGCGTTCATTTCTTTAAATCGCTGCTTGAGCTCCAGGGGCGTGAGGCGGTACTGGTCCAGGCCGTCATTCCACCGGACCCTCTCCAGGACCTGGAGGTCTCCACCAACCAGCCAGTCTCCACTTCCCATCACCATCTTCAAAGGAAATCAGGCATTTGAACGCAGTACAAGCCAGGCGGGGAACATTTGTTAAGCGCTCACTGCCGACACCAGAAGTGTTCCAGGCTGCCCTCAGGGAGCTCACAGTCTAAGAGACTACGCGCAGCTCCCCACGAACAGACAAGATGTATGCAGGAGAGTGAAGCACCATCCTCCAAGGGGGGTCTGGCTTCCTGCAGAGGGGGAGCCCGGGAGTGGGGATGAGCAGGGGAGGGCTCTAGGCCCTGCCAGCGCTGACGCTGCTAACAAGGGCTGGCTGCGAACAGAATCTCGCTAGATCCCGCCTGGGAGACGGCAGCGTTGTGGCCATTTCACTGATAAGAAGCCAAGGCCCCTTGTCCTTGGCCTCACAGCTGGAAGTGTGTGTGTGTTGGGGACCTGGGTGGGGTTGGGTTTGAACACAGATCTTTATGCCTCTCCTGTGTGCTCTGCCCACCACATGCCATTCAATGGAGAGCGTCAGAGATATGCAGAAAGGCTGGTATGAGAGGTCTGAGATGGTATGTCCCAGCGGGCTTCCTGGCCAGCAAACATTTGGGCTGGGCAGGAATTCCGTCCTTGGATGCTGGGCGGATTTCCGTTTGTTTTAACCTAATGTTTGCACACCCTTAAAGGGCCCCCAGTCCAACTTTGCAGAGGAGGAAACTGAGGCCAGGAGATGGGCAGTGACTGGCCAGAGGTCCCCAGGAGTGGGCCAGGCCCCCGGCCTCCCCATACGGGACTCATTCCCCTGCACCCACCTCTTACAGTGGGATCTCATGAACTTGCCATCAGTAATCCTGTGCTCCCCGTGGACCCCCTTCCCCTCAGCTATCCAAAGAGCCTGATCAGGATCAGACTTCTTCCAGTCCCTGTTTAAATCTGAAGTGTTTGTTTGTTTTGTCCGCTTTTTGTCATTAAGCTGCTATGTTCAGGAAAACTCCCCAAATACTTTTCTTCTCAATGAGGTGGGGGAGGGGCTCATTGAGAGCTGGTGTGGGCCCAGATCACATCCACGCAGCCTGGACCATGATTATGTCCAAAACAAACAGAGGACTGCCAGGGAAGCCCCCACTTTCCCTGACATCCGCTTTCTAAAGTTACTGTTTTCAGTTCCATCTGGCCCCAGTGGTAAAGAAGTGGGGTCGGAAGCCGGGAGGAGCAGAAAACCTCACATTTCTAGTGTGCTTTTCTGGCAATGACTTTGGGAGGTAGGTGTTATTATCCCATTTCACTGACGGCACAACCGGGTCCCATACCCCTGGGGCAGGTCTTCCCATCACCAAGTCTAGCACTTTCTCTAGGTTACTGTCCTAGTCTTTGCGGCTCCTGCTCACCCCGGGAAACACCTTGTCTTCCAAAGGGCCTACAAAAGGATCCTGCTCCCCTTAGACGCACCACAACTAGAAAGTCCAGGGAACGTCCCTCTCAGTCCCCACCCTACCCCGACTCCTCCTGGGGCCACCTGGTGCTGCCTCGTCTTTTAAAATGCAGAAAATCATACTTCATCACTTTATGAGGAGAGGTAATGAGTGGTGTGGCAAAGTTTGCAGAGTCCCAGATGAAAAGGAGCCGAGATCCCGTGTGCTTTGTGATGACAGGAGCGTTTCCGGCTCCACCTGCTCCCTCCCCTGAACCCTAACCCCTCGTTGCACCTTTGGGGGCGGGGAGGGAACACGGGCTAGTTCCAGTCTTAAGGGGGAGCCTCTCTCCAAAGTCGTTCTTGGGTCCCCACCCAAGGCTTCCTTGGGGACATCAAACCGCACAGTGAGAGGAAGGCCCTGGGGGAGACTGCTCCTGGCACACCCCAGCACAGGACCCTCGGAGGATTTCTTGGAGGCAGCAGAAGCCTTAGCCTGGGGCGTCCTGACAGTGGTTCCAAAGAGAGGAAAGAAGAGGTGTGGGATTCGAATTCTGACCCAGCCACTTACTGTGTCACCTTAGACAAGTCACTTCACCTGGCTGGCGCTGAAGGGGGTGAGACCAGACGACCTCTAACTTCCCTTCCAGCTTAGGCCATGAGCCCTCACTAGCTGTGTGATCCTGGGGATGTCGCCCCATGGGTCTGGTGTCAGGGGACTTAGCTTGCAATTTACTAGCTGTGTGACCCTAGGCAGATGCTCCTGGGTTCTATCAAATACGGGGGTTGAACGAGACATTATTTAAGGTTTCTTCGGGCCTTTGATCTATGACCACATAGGAAGGAGAAGGACTTGTCCAAGGTCACACGGCCGGGTTAACCTAAAGGGGGGAATGATGACACTGGCTGAGAATTGGGATCCCACAGACTATGGCAGGGCCGGCCTCCTCGGGATGTTCTGGGTAAAGAGCTCTGGAAAGCATCCAGAGCCTTGGTGACCGTCATCCTGCCTGCCTGCCTGCCTCTCCCGTCTCCCCAGCACCCCAGGCCAGTGAGGTGAAAGGTGCAATCACTCCTTCGCTCTTCCCCCCTCATCCTTCTCAGAAAGGTTGCAGATTCCTTCTTGGGGGCGTGTTCACATGGGCCCGTCGTGGCCTGGCTGGGATGGCTCTTCCTCTTCTGCCCGCCCCCCCCCTCACTCCAAGGCCACTGGTCCTTGAAGGACCAAACCATTATTGGCTCCATTTCAGGGACCCCAGGAAAGACTGGCCCTGGCTCCGTTGTGCTGGAGCTCCATAATATGGAACCATTGGAGTCATGAGAGAGCTGGGCCGGAAACCTGACTTATACCTCTAACCTGTCAAATGACCACGAACAAGTCACATCTCCCTGAGCCTCAGTTTCCTCCTCTGTAAAATGGGGGGTCAGCACTAGAACAGAGACTTCTTTGGTAGTCGGCAAAGGCAAATGTGGACGGACCCTTCTTAGAATCATGTTTTCAAACACAAAATATGTGGGATTACAGAGGAAAGTGATTATGTGGAAATACAGGGATCATTTTTTTCAGTTCCTCAGGACCCCAGGCTAAGAACCTCTCGATCAGAGCGTCTCTAAGATCCCTCCTAGCTCTGAACACCTCGAAGACACAAACCCCTAAAACAATGCAGCCAGTTTAAATGAAAGGCTTTTTCTTTATGTCTCTGGGTGGAGGGAAAATCACCAGCTTGTATAATTACAACCAGGGAAGGGATGAAAAAGATGCCTGATTAAGGTGATTAGAGCATATGGCTTTTCTCAGATGGGTGCCCAAGACTGAAAGTTATGTCTGGCTAAGGCCGGCCCCCCCAACCTTTCCACTGCCTGAAATCTGCACACGTCATTTAGTTTCAAGGAGGAATATGCTAAGAGTGAGGTTTGCAGGCAACAAGCTGGCTCTTGCTTTCTGTCCATCGGTTCTTAGAGGGGAAAGGAAAGAAGAGGCAGAAAAGCGTTTTGTGAAAAGCACGGGAAGGCAAAAGATGGGCATCGTCGATGCTGGTGGGGCTGGGGGAAGGAAGGCTTACTAACATTGGACGGGCACAGCAATTCTGGAAAGCAATTTTGAATTATGCTTTAAAAAAAAAGTGACCAAAATGCCCATGCTCTTTGATCCAGATCTCTCCCTACAAGGAAAGGCAAAAAGAAAGAGCCCAGAGACTCTTCCCCGGTGGCGGCGGCGGTAACTTCTTTATTCTCCTGAGCTGGTGATGACAGCCGGGCCCCAAAGTCCCAACTCACCCTTACCCTCCATCCTGAAACCAGTCAATTCAGCAGCTTTTGCCCTTTATCTGCAGTGTGGCTGCTCTCCTGAGAGTCCCAGCCTCACATCTGAGGCTGATTCAAGGCCCAATGTAATCTGCTTCTTTCCTATCTTTCCTTTTTAAATTCTCAATAAAACAAGGATGTATTTCCATATACGTTGTGGACCAGGACAGCACTGTACGTAAAGCAGCAAATCTTTTGCACAGATCTTGTTTTTTTCTTCAGTACATAATAAATACAACGTAGCACTTACCAAGCTGCCTCCCCTGTCCGTGATTCCTTCTCTCTGTGTGTGTTTGAGGGGAGGGGAAGGTAGGAAACACCCTGGTACAGGGATAGGGAGGAAACGCTATCCCTCCTGTCTCCCCTCCCCATTAAAACAACAAAACCTTTCATAGCAAACATGCCCATTGAAGCAAAACAAATCCCCATATTGGCCACGTCCCAAAATGTATGTCTCATTCTGCATTCTGAGCCCTTCCCTTCTGTCTCGGGGGCAGGGCACGTGCTTCCTCGTGGGTTTCTGGCTGGCTCCTGCCCGGGACAAAGACCCCAAGTCATCCGAAGTTGCTGTCTCTACAGGGTGGGTGATTCTATTACTGGCTGTGCCTTGGTCCACACCAGTCTTCCCAGGTTTCTCTGGAACCTCACTTCCATCATTTTTCACAGAGCACACCATAATTTGCTCAGCCATTCCCTAACGGATGGGTCCCCCCACAGCCGTACGAGCCAGTGACGTCAGCCTCCTTGCTGTTCCCCAAACAAGACAACAGATTTCTCAGCCAGCATTTTCTCTGGCTGCTTCCCCCCCCC